CCAGGATAACTGGGAAATGGCTCAGTTCACTCATCGAGCCACCCCACAGACGCCACCCGTTTTCTGACACTGAGAATTCAGTGATTTATCCCTCTACCAAGCAACGTGGTTGGAATTCCATCTGGCTGTTCTTGGATGAAACGCAAGGAAAATGCTGACAGTTTGGGGTGGGGGAGACTTCCGACCCATCCTCCCTGTGCAGGGAGGACGGAGGGACCCAGCCTGGCCCCCCGCCTCCTTTCCCAAGAGGAGACAGCACTCCCAACCCTGAGCCGTGGAGGGGCCGTGGCTCCTGCTGCTGTCTGGGGTGGCCATGGGAGAGCGGAGCGTGGCAGACAGCGAGGTTCATAAAACAGGGCATCGTGGGGATAAGGCACCATCCCTCGCAGAGGAGATTGTAGTCACCTCGGTTCATCACCGCATGGAACAGCGAGGCTTCAGGGGGCCCTGGGCTGGAGTCAGGGAGCCGAGATGTGTGGTTGGCTCTAAATCTCTGTATCTAGATCCCTATTTGTGGAAACCCTGTTTTCTCACCTGTGAAATGGGGCTTTGCGAGGCTCAAATTGATCTGGAACAAGAGCATACTTGAGCATTTGTGTGGGACCGCACATTGCTGCTGGTGCCTAGAACCACGGACATGCTCTGGTGTACGAGGCCTAATTGCTTCCTATTCTTAGGCAAAGGCTTTCTGGGCTTGGATTGCTGGGTTAGGGAGCTGACCATCTGCAAAGTGGCTCAAAGAACAGAGCTCCCCGGACTGGAGCTGTGTTCACTTTGACTTCTCTGCCCAGTGACACACACTCTGGCTCTGGCTGGAATCAGCTGGCTGACACGTGCATCCTGTTACCCGCTTTCCCGCTGGTGCAGGGAGTGGCACTTGTGCTCGTGTCCACATAACACCTGTACAGAGTGGCTCCTGTTGACTCATTCTCAGGTCACTCCAGACGATCCCCTCTTATCAGATGGGGAGACTGAAGCTTCAAGAGATTGACTGATTTGTTCAACATCTGATAGTAAGTGAACAGCTGGGCTTCTGGCAAGGTCCTTTTGAAATGTGAATGGATAAGTGAACAGATGATGTTTAGATAAGTGGTAAGATGGATGGGTGGTAGATGGATAAATAAGTGGATGGATGGATAGATGGATGGATGGATGGATGGATGGGTGGATGATGGATGGATGGATGGGTGGATGATGGATGGAGGATGGATGGATGGATGGATGGATGGAGGATGGATGGATGGATGGGTGGATGATGGATGGATGGATGGGTGGATGATGGATGGAGGATGGATGGATGGATGGATGGATGGATGATGGATGGAGGATGGATGGATGGATAGATGATGGATGCCTCCGAGGATGGATGGAGGATGGATGGATGGATGGATGAGTGGGTAGATGGGTGGATGGATTTCTCCTGAGGATCGACTTTTCAGGTTGGGCTCAGCCTCCTTGCTGATTGTTGTTGACTGTGCACAGTGGGGTCCTGCAGGTCCTTGCAGCAGTTCCACTGGGGGATACGGGGTGGGGGCTCTGAGAAGATGGGCTCCTCATTTGGTTCCCAAAGTCGGGGCATAATGGCTTCTTCTGCAGCCAAAAAGCAGCTGAAGTCAGGTCCAGCAACCCCAGCTGTGTGGCTCACCCTCTGCCCTGCCCCTGCTGCCATCAGTGTGGTCTGTCCTTATATTTTCTCTGGACTTTGACCCGTTCCTTCCCTATGGGAGAAGCCCACCTGCCTCACCTCGGCCTTCTCATGGTCCTCTACTCTCCTGGCCTTAGGGATGGATTCATGGGGGTCGGCGGACCTGCCCATCCGCTCACCGCCCCCTGGTGTCTGCTGCAGCCATGCCTCCTGTCCAGGAGCATCCGTGCAGCCTGGGAGGCATTGGGGCTCATTTGTGACCTCACTGCTAGGACCAACCTGCAGTCTCTCAATGAGGTGTAATGCATTGGACACTTCTGAGCGCCCACTGCTGCACCTCCAGCCAGGAGGGGGCATTGAGATGGTGCAGGCAGAGCCCTGTGTTCCGGCTGCTCCCGGTTCAACCTGGGTGATTCTCAGATGCAGAGGCCATAACTGCCATCAAAGCTGCAGTGACGGAGGTGGCGGGGGTGAGGAGGGGCTCTTTATTTGCGTCCCCTTATTTACCCTCCCAGCAGCCCCGGGGGCTGGGTCCTACCCCCCATCACTGAGCACAGATGTGACAGGCTCATCAAGGGTGATTCAAGCCCTGCTTGTGGAGGTCTAAGGAGAGGGGAGATCTGACCCCGGGCTGCCATATTCTGGAGCCACACCCTCCAGTGACCCCCGGCCTCTTCTGAACCACTTGGGTCCAGACGCAGTGGCCCCAGGGGACACTTTCCCCATTGCAGAGGAGTTGAGTGTCCTTGGTTACCAGGACTCACTTTCCCCCGTCCTGGGAGGGATGCTCGGGCCCCGTGTGGTGAAGGCTGTCCTCTCAACTCTCAGTCCTGGGCCAAGGCGGCCCTGAGTGGGGCTGACGGAGGTGGATTGAACGAACGAACCCGCCCCCTGATGCAGATGCCACGGCAGCGAGTCCTCTCAGGTGGGGATTTTGAGGGGCTGCTCCGACTTTCCCAAGTTCTTTTTCCTTACGGGCAGGTGACCCAAATTGTCCTTCCTCTGTGAGTCAGCTGGCCTGCTGACCTGTCACCTTTGCACTAGAGATGGTCATACAACTTGGCTCCTGCAGGGGTCGCCGCCCCAGGAGTTCCCAGGATGTTTGGGGATAAATAACATCTACCGAGAGGGACCACCCGGCTCCTTAGGACGAGTCTCAGGGTGGGTTTTCCTGTCTGTGCGCATTGATCTCTACCTGGCCGGGCAAGGAGAGGTCAGGTGAGAAGGTGATGTGAGGCCACTGGGCAAGGCTGCCTGGTGGGCAGGATTCTGTGATCTCCACCTGTGACCTTGACTTGGTTAGAGAAGGCTCTGGGGAGGAGTGGCAGGCCTGGGGACAGAGGACCACAGCTTCCCACTCCTGTCTGCATCCTCTGAGCTCAGTTAAGCACCTGCCTGCCCTCTGCCCCACGTGGGTTAGGGAGAGCCTGGCTTTGTGGTCCGGCAGGCAGACGTGGCGGCCAGCCCTTCCCCACACCTTACTACTACAGTATACGTTAGGGTGTCAGTGGAGCATGCCACAGCCTGCAGTCTCACATGTGTGAATGTGGGTCCCCGTGGCCAGCTCTCACGACCGTGACGGTGGGTGAAGTCAGACAGAAGACGGCGTGGTCTCGCTTCTGTGAGTTTTCACCGGCATACAGCAAACCACACGTCATTGACCGGTGGTACAGTTGTGGGTAAAGCACAGTACAGAAGGCACGGGCCGGGGGCGTCACAGTAAATCCCAAAGTGAGTGGTCACATCGGCTTCTAGAATTTTCCTTGCAATGCTGTTTCACAGCAGTTCCTGCCTAAATCTAAGAACTTCTTCCTCGAGGAAATCTCAAGGCTCCCTCGGTAGGTTCACAGGCCACAGCATCTGTAGTTCAAGGGGAAAACCACGGTTGGGGACCCCAGCCTTCCTGGCCATGAATCTGTGACATGAGTCGGCCTCTTGCTGAGACTCAGATGTGGTTCCCTGATTCCGGAACCTTCCCCAGGTGTTACTGATACTCCTCTCACTTCCCGTTGGGAGACACCAGCTGGAGGGGAATTCTTGTCTTGTCTTGACCAGGGCCCTCTGGAGCTTCGCCCCAGAATCTCTGCCCAGATTCATCCGTGTGGATGCTTTTTTCTAAAGATCCCATCGCAGAAAGAGAACTCAACATGACGCTTGGCAATTATCATGGATAAGAACCAGGGTGGACGTGCTCTCTTTCTCCTTCCCAGAAACAGGCAGCCCGGGTCGCCCATCACAGCGATGCAGGCATGTCACCATGGAAACCACGTACACATGTTTCTGAGAACATGCTTCTGTCCCACACGTCTCCCACCCTCGGGCCCAGTTAAGATGTCGCTCACATCAGGGGTGGATGTCAGCCTGGAAATACGCTCTTTGTGAAATAATAACATAAAGTGGGAAAGGACTGACGTGCCTCTTATGAAATGTCATCGGGGCCGTGAGAGTGGGCCGCATGCACTGCAACGATGAGAGCCTTTGACAGAAGGTTCTGGGTGTTTCCTCGCCTGGAGTGGCCAGTGCTCACAGTGAAGCCGATAGCATGTCAGAGACGCAGGGCCTGCCCTGATGGCTGCCCCCACTGGAGCCTTTTATTATTATTATTTGTTTTTAAAATTGTGGTAAAATACGCAAAACATAAAATTTACCATCTTAGCCATTCTCAAGGGCACAGCTCGGTGGCGTTAAGCACATTCACCTTGTTGTGCAACCATCACCACCATCCATCTCCGGAACCTTCCATCTTCCCAAAGTGAACTCTGTCCCTATTAAACACTTATTCTCCATCCCTCCCCCAGCCTCTGGCACCCACCAGCCTACTTTCTCGCTCCATGAATTTGACTCCTCTAGGGACCTGCTGTAAGTGGAATAACACAATGCCTGTCCTTTTGTGACTGTCTTCTTTCACTCAGCGTCATGTCCTCAAGGTTCATCCACGTGGGAGCACGTGTCAGGATTTCCTTCCTTTTTAAGGCTGAGTAATATTCCACTGTGTGGATGGACCACATTGTGTTTATCCGGTCATCCATCGCTGGACACTTGGGTTGCGTCCACCTTTTGGCTGTGGTGAATAATGCTGCTGTGAACGTGGGTTTGCCAATACCTGTTTGAGTCCTGCTTCCACTTCTTCGGGGCATATTCCCAGAAGTGGGATGGTCAGAATTCCCCAAGTCTTTTGACCACGAATGCTGCCTCCAGCCTGGTCACTTCTTCCTCTAGACTCTGGAGCTCCGTCCTGTGTGACTGCCCAGCGATTGCTGTGGACGGGTTGGCCCCAGGTCGGCGGCGTGACCTGCTCTGTCTCGGGCAGTGACAGTGACCTTCTCTCTCTCTCTCTCTGCCCCCTCCCTCTCAGGCCCACCTTCCCGCCTGGTGCCCACAAGGACGTGCTCTCGGCCTTCGAGTACCCGGGGCCCAAGCGGAAGCTCTACAGTGCGGTGCCCGGGCGGCTCTTCGTTGTCGTCAAGCCATACCAACCCCAGGTCGACGGCGAGATCCCCCTTCACCGTGGCGACAGGGTCAAAGGTCAGTGTCCGCGAGGTTCTTGCCTCTGGGGCCCCTCAGCCTCACTTGACCCCCTCAACCAGGCTGTGAGGGTGTCAGCATCCGAGGCATTGCTGTGGGAAATAGGGAGCCCTGGGAGGGCAGAGCCGGAACAGAGGGAGGCTCACCAGTCGTTCTCGCGGGATGCACCCGCAGTGACCGTGATGTCTATTAGGGAAGACGACACACACATATAACTGGAATGAGATTCCCCCATAAAAAGAGCAAGGGAGGGGGCAGACGAGGCCACTGATGGGCAGAGCTCCTCGCTGACTGGAAACCCCCAGGGACTCGTGAAGAAGCGGCATTGGGACGGGTCCAAGCATAGGCGGGATTAGGACGTGTCTTGTTGGGAGTCAGGGAGGGGTATCTGGGTGGGCGGTCCAGCCTGCGCCACGGCCTGGAGGCCTGCAGCGTTTCAAGGAAGGCAGTCCACCGCCTTGGAGGGAAGGGTTCCTGAAGCAGAATCCTGGGAATTGTGGCTGAGAGCATCGAGGGCTGCCATGAATGCCAGGCTGAGGAGTTAGACTTCGTTCCCAGGGTCCTGGGGAGGCAGCGATGGTTTCTGATCTGGGAGATGAGTATGCGAGACCCTTCAGGCAGATGGGCGTAATGACACAGGTGCAGGAGGGAGGGAGGATGGCAGTGGCTGCAGCTGAGGCCTGTGATGCTAAAGGCCACAAACGGAAGTGGAGAAGTGACACGTGTGGGCTGCAGCCACGTAGGGGCAGCTGAACTCACCAGGAAGAGCAGGAAAAGTCACGCCACGTGTGCCCAGCCACGCGTGGGCCCTGCCATTGTAGGGCAGGCTTTCAGGGGAGGCATGGCATAGAGGGTATGCCCGTAGACGTGGGCAGGCCAGCTTGAAGTCCTGCCTTCCCCACTCGTCTCCATTTGGCCCTGAGCTGGCAATTAACTCAGTCCCCGTCCTGTACCATGTGCTAATCCGGCTGATGTCCCTGGCTTTCCAATGACAGGTGGCGCCCCGTTCTCTCTCTTGACACCTTCTGGTAGTCCAGCTGCACACATATTTGACCATCTGGCGGCATCAACAAGTCCCAGGGACTCTGTTCATTTTCTTTCCATCTATTCTTGTTCACCCTTGGTCATTTCTACTGACCTTGATCTATTTCAAGGTCACTTACTCTTTCCTCTGAAACGTCCCCGTCACTGTTAAGCTCATCTCGTGAACTTTTTAATTTCAAAAATTATGTGTTTAAACTTTAGAGTTTCCATGTGCGTTTTCTTTTCTCATTTCTTTTTACTTGCCAAGACTTCCTAGGACTCCGTTGAGATTTCCCACTCATTGAAAACGCGTGCTGTTTCACGACCTTGTGGGTTGGTGCCATCGTCGCTCTGAAATCCTCATCTGCGAGTTCCGCCGTCAGGGGTCATCTGGGGTTGGCCTCACCTGGTTTCTTTTCTGTTGAGAACAGGCTCCATCCTCGTAGGTCTTTGTGTGTCTGGTTATCTTCTGTTGCGTTCTGGACATCAGGAGGGCTAAGTTGTGGACATTCTGGCTTCGGTTCGGCTCGTTTTCCTCCTTAGGTTTCGCTGAGTTGCTTGGGTGACAGCTCAGGTCTCAGATGTTAGCTGAGCAGCTTTGCGTCTGCACTTGGGGTCAGAGATGTGGGATGCTGAGTTTGTCGGCCTCTCTCCCATCCTTTCCCCTGTGGGGTTGCCCCCAGCCTCTTTCTGGCTTCACCTGTCTGGCTCTTCACCTGCTCAGACCGCAGGTGTTTGCCGTGTGCCCGTCTACCGCCAGCCCTGCCACGTGGACTGTACTTTGTCCAGGCCGCAGGCCGGGGAGGAGGGCCTTTCCTACCAGCTCCCCTGCCCTCCCCCAGGGCAAGCGTGCATCCCACCAGGCCTGTCTGTTTGTCCCCCGGCTCCGGCTCCTTTCCCATCGTTTTCAGGGTTCATAGCTGCCTTCTGTGGTGTGGTCCCGTGGAGTCTTTGACCATCACACTCATAAGCAAAAATCCCGGAATTGTCCCTATATAATTTAAGGCAGCATCCTTGTTAACTTTTAAATAGAAACCTTCAAATTACAAATGTAAAAATTCACATGACCTGCAGTTTTGAATTTTAGTACCAGGATGCGTCACGTGGTAGCCCTTTTCCTGACTTGTTGAATATTTTCAGTGGACCCCACAACAGTCACAGTATGGCCAACTGGCCACCATGCACAAGACGCAGCCTTTGCAGACGGGCGGGCTGGCGGCCGGGCAGGTGCCTTGCCTCCGGCTCCGTCCCAGCGCTCACTCAGGCCCAGACAAAAGGCGACTGAGGCGTCTGCTGAGTGCGCGGCTGTCCCTGGACAGGAGCCTCTCTTTATAGTCACATCAGCCAGTGGACAACTGCCTCGGCTCTGCCTCCCTCTCCTCTTCCCCTGACCTGCAGGCTGCGGGAGGCCGTCCTGGAGGGCCACGGGGAACCCCGCTCCTGGTGGAGCTGGTGGGCCAGGCCGGGCGCACGGGGGCCATAGAAGCCCACGGCTGCTGGACCTTCCTACGCCCTCCCAGAGGCCCGTCCGCTGCCGCCCGATGCCCACCGCCTTCCTCCCAGGCAGAAAGCTGGGCCCGCAGAGCCGCATCTGGGAGCCACTGCTGTTCTGAGGACACTGGGAAGGGTGGGCTCCCAGGCCTTGCCACACTTAGGGGCTGTTGTCTGATTCCTGTTGGGTGGCGATGCTTAAAATAACCACAACTCTCGCCAGTCGGTCAGCCCCTGCGTCTTCGAGGCTGGTTACTCAGGAGGCCGGGGAGGCTGGCGGCTCATGTGGAGAGGAAGAATGCCCCAATGTGGCCTGCTCTTGCGTGCACCCCAGCTCAGCCCACCCTGTGACCCCTGGACGTCACCCAGGTCTCCCGACCCAGCTCGGCCCTAAAATCAGCTGAGCCCCCAGCCCCCAGCCCTGGGCCTTCATTCCACAGGGGACCGCCTTGCTCTGCAGGCCCAGGCCCACGCCGGGCTTCTGGCCAGGCTGGGAGGAGCCTGGGGAGCCTTCCTAGTCACCCACTGGCCTGTCCCTTCATATCCAGGAGCTTTGTACCCTTCTCCATGCCTCGGAGATAATAGAGGAGTGGACAAAGATGGAGACTGTCATCAGGGAGCGCCTGCTGTTTACAGGCATACAAGCGTCACGTATGTTTTTGTGTGTAAACCTCACAGCAACTGTGGGCCGAAGGTATCGGATCCCATTGCATCAGTCAGCTCGGGCCACCATTACAAAGTCCCCCAGACCAGGTGGCTCAAATCACAGACGTTTGCTGTCTCCGGGTCCTGGAGGCTGGACGGCCGAGGTCCAGGTGTGGGCAGGGCTGGTTTCCCCTGAGGCCTCTCTTCTTGGCGTGCAGACACCATCTTCTCCCTGTGTCCTCACGTGGTCGTCCCTCTGTGCATGTCTGTGTCATCTCCTCCTCTTATAAGGATGCCAGTCCTATGGGATCAGGACCCAGCCTAGTGACCCCATCTTACCTTAATCACCTCTTTAGAGACCCCATCTTGAAATACAGTCTCTTTCTGGGGTACAAGGGGGTCAGGGCTTTAACATGTGAATTTGGGGGACACGACTCAGCCCCTCGCGCCTGCCTCTTCCAGACCTGGGAACGTGGTGAAGAAATCTCCCATCTCCCACGCTGGTCACCGGGGAGCTGGGCCTTCAGAGCTCGTTTGTCTGGACTCCGAGCCCACGCGGGTCCCAACCCCTACCCCCTTGTCTGTCCTAATCACTCACTCCACGGTCGGCTTGGTGCCCGCTTTACTTGGCTCTGCCCGAGTTTGCGTTCTTGATGTCGCTCAGAGAGAAGGGGGCAGACTCACTGTCTGTGCCACACGCGTCTGTGTGGATGCGTGGCTGTCAGCCAGGTGCTCCATTCTGTAAGTGGAGTCACTCATTCCCTCACTGAGTATCGGGTCCCCCAAATTCACAGGGACCAGGCGAGGGAAGAGGCACAAGGGCCCCGGTGTGAAGTGGGGGGCACCTAACTTGGGTTCCCGGGGAGTGGGGCCTAACCTCCTGGGCTGGACGGCACCCATTTCTGAAAGGGAGTTCAGAAAACAGGAGTCAGCTCTGAGTCATTAGCAGCCTGCATCACAGCAGCTGGAGGATGGTGCCGGTCCTGATGAAGGGGTCCTGGGTGGGGCACCAACAGTGCCCACTATACTGGGCACCACGGGAAAAGGACAGATGAGCGCCAAGTCACGCGGCCCGTGCAGCCAGCACTCAAGACTCCAAGTGCAGGGCTATTCAGGGCTGTCTTGATGCTCCTGCTTCTGCCAACTTGCCCTGCGTGAGCAGGTGGTGGAGGAGCATTGGTTGGCCTGCAGGTCAGGCTTGCACAAGGAAGAAACCAGAAGGAGGGGTGGGCTGTCTCAGTGCTGATATTGAGAGAGGCAGCCAAATTGCTGGGGTATGCCTGTGTGCATGTGTATGTGCATGTGTGAATGTGTGTGTGTGTCCCTCTGCTGCATCCTGGTTGACAGGTAGAGTCTCAGGTTGTGTTTCTGTCGAGGGGCTGGTGTTTCTCCCTTCCTCTTGGATGCTTCACCATCACAATCACACGTCCCTGACTTGGAAGAGAGCTTCTCCCGGCTCTGGGCTGCAGGTTGCGCACGCCCTCCCTTCTTCTCAGCCGTGCCTGAGCCAGTGAAGAGAGGCCCCAACATGGACTCATGGGCCTGACCATGGACTCCCCACCAAGGCTGACCCGAGCTGTCGAGTGACAGTGATGCTGAGACCACGTGGGCGGGTGGCCAGGGAGCAGGGTCGGCAGGTGCTAGGACCAAGGAAGTCCTCGTCCAGGCCTGTCCCCATTGTAGAGATGAGAAACCTCGTGCTCGGACGGGCCAGCGGCCGACGAATTGCCCGTCCACTGAGTCCGTCTCAGAGCTCACTGGAGTCCAGGGAGGGTGTTCTGGGGAGGGGCCTGCGGGCTCCCAGGGGCTCCGGTCAGGCTCCCAGCACGTTTGAAGGGGGCAGGGAGGGGACCATGAAGACAGACACAGAGAACGGGACAGGGTTTCTTGTGGGAATCGCCACAGGCAGACAGACTGACCGCTCACAGAGGGAGGGACAGCCAAGTGCCTGTGCTGCATTCTCTTTCCCGGCCTGTGTCCTGCAGCCCCCCAGATGCGGACAGGAAATGGGCCTGGGGGAAGAGGAGAGGGGCTGCGGGTCAGTGGAGTGCGGAGCTGAGGGGCCAGTGAAAGGTGGAATCAGAGGAGACCCCCAGATTGCCGCCTGGATGAGGGGCAGCTGGGGGAGAGAAGGGTGTGCCCCTTCCAGAGCTGTCACACTCGGGATGACGTGGGCTCAAGGCTGCACAGATGGGCTGCAGTAGGAAAGTGGCCCAAGGAAGGATGCAGAACTCAGAGGCGTCCGGGCCTGGGCAGGACCCCGTGGGCCGTGGCACATGAGAGGACGTGCATCTCACCCCGTATTCCCAGCAGAGCTCCCTTCCCCATGCCGGGGCATCACCCCCAGACTGGGACCCGCGGCTCGCTGCAGAGTGTGGGGCATGCTGGGAGCTAGGCCCGCCTCCCGTGGAGAAGGAAAGTGATGGAGCTCAGTTCCAAAACTCGCACTGCGGAGGACTGAGTCGAGGGTTCTGGAGAGAGCTGAGTGGGCCACGTGGCCTTGCACACGCAGTTGCCTTGGCACCCATTGCGCTGTCGGCCGGGGCCTCTTCCCTCTGTCCAAGCTATGCCTGAACAGCCCCTGGCATCCTGGCTGCCCGGGCCGCTGGCTCTTGGAAGCAGGCCAGTGGAGGTAAACCAAGGTCATTGTAGGAATTCTGCCCCCTGGACCTTAAGGAGCCACTGCAGGGGCAGGAGTTCTGTGAGGATTGCTAGAGAAACCGAACTCGCTCCTTCCAGGGAGGTGGGGTCCTGGCGACAGAGGGGCAGGGCCTGGGGGTCCTGCTGTGACCCTGTGTCTCCTGGCTGGGCCACAACTCTCACTTTATTCAAATCTTTTCTGCTCGGCTCTGCCAGGGAGGTCTTAATATTCCCAGTAGACAGTTGATCCTGTGCACCTGGGGCAGCGTGCCCCACCATTTCTGTTAGAGTGAGGGGTGCCCAGGAACAAGGGTGCACCCGTTCTCATCCCCCTGGTGATGCACATATGGGAGAAAGCCCAGGACAGTTTGAAATTCAGCACAGCCTCATGTTGAATCCATTCAGGGGATTCGGTGCAGAATAGGGGGAAAACCTGGGCCTCCGGCTCTCCCAGCACCAAGCCTCGCCCCCATGCGCTTAGATAGCTGCCTCCTCCGTGACCCGGGCCAGGCGGGAGGGTTTGGGGGTGAGGGCCAGAGCATCGCAGAGGGGTGGGGACCACACAGTGACCTTCCCAGCCCCCACCTGTCAACTTCGTGGAGCTAACCCAAGGCGGGTAGTTGCTGTGGTTTTCCAGTTCACAAGGCGGGGCTTGTGTGTCTCTGGAGGGGAGAGGCCCGGAGCAGTGACCAGCAGAGGGGACGGCTAGATGGGGCACCCTTCTCTGACCAGTTCTTTTCAGCTGTGGCCCTGGTGTGTGCTGGGCTCCTATGCTGTTCCTTCTCAGGGTGTGAACTGTTTACTTTTCAATGACTTAATCATCGATCCACAGGTGAGCCCAACTCCGCTCCCTCCTGCTATATGAGGAACACCTGTCCCCACCCGGACACAGGTGTGCCTGTCAGGGTTTGCCCTTGAGAAGGCAGGGAGTGAAAAATCCCAGGTATGGGGCTGGGTGGCCCAGCGTACACAGTTGCAGGATTCGCTCACTGCCACTTAAGAAGAGAAGGGCCTGTCTTGCAGACAACCTTGAACATGGGATGTTCCACTGGGACCCAGAAACCCGCCTCTGCACACATTCCCTTCTTCCTTCCCCCTCCATAAAGAGGACCACCAGCTGCCGTTTGCTCAACCAGAAACCCAGGCTCATCCTCTGCCCTTTCTCCCCACCACCCCTGCACCCGGTCCCTCGGCACAGATCCTGTTGTTTCTCCCTCCCCAGTGTGGCTGACACCAGCTCGATGTGGAGGGTCCCTGAGCTGGCCACTTCTTTCCAGCACATCTCCCCTTCTGCATTGCATTCACCCCCCGCTCTCTTGAGAAGCTGCAAACAGCCTTTCATCTTTTTGTTGGTCTCATAACAACAGTAACACACCCAGAAGTGTATCCATGGTATCGATCAAACGTGGGACTGGAATGTGTTATCCCTGACCGGGGGTTCAGAAGGAAGCCAGCGAGCTGTGATGGGGTTCTGTCTGGGTTAGCTGCCTCTGTTTCACACACAGCCATGCTCAGAGCTAAGCAGTATTATCTGACAGATGAGGAAACTGAGGCACAGAGGCAAAGAAGCTGTCCCACGTGTCACGCAGATAAGATGTGGCAGAGATCTGCCCATGCGTGCCTCCTCCCCAGACCTCCTACAACCGGAATGGCTGCCCACAGCCCCGATCACAGGGAAGAGATGGTGCTTTCCTTGCAGGGCATTGGGTCGCACAGCGCCAGGCAGGGCCCCTGCCTCCCTTCGCCCGCCAGGGCAGTGCTGCGAGACGACCTCACAGATCCGGGTTCCACTGGGAAACCGTGTGCGCGTCCGGGTCAGCAGGGCCGCGTGGAGCGTAAGGGGCTGGCATCGATTTTTAGAGGAAATGCTCCCAGCGGTTATAATCGTCTGGTTCGGCTGTGAGGTTGCTTGTTCCATTTAGATCATTTCTTCGAATTATTAGGCAAAGACTTATAAAGCCGAGGTTTTCTGTTCTGTTGACCTTCAAAGACCGTGGGTCCAATGGTTCCTTCTCTGGCCTTTGAGATGAAAATGAGGGATGGAAGAAAGCGCCACTGTTGCCTTGATCCCTTTTTCCACAGTTCTGGTGCCTTGGATCCTGAGTAATTTAAAGATTAAGATATGGAGAGACGATACGGATTTCCCCATTGCACGGCCCCGTTCTGAGGGAGCCAGGGCCTTGGGGGCACCCCCAGCCCTGCACCAAAGGCCTGGGATATAAATGCTCCCTCCCTCCACCCCACCTGCGAGCTCGGCCCTTACAACCAAAATATTTGCCCAAACGGTGCCTTGGGGAACATTTGGGTCCTTGTGATTGGCCCCTTCTACCCTGTGTCTTTAGATTTGCGTTGCCCACCCGTGCTCAGCATCAGTCCAGTGTAGAAACAAATTCCCTTCACTCTCCCAGAGGATGTTTACAAGGCTCTCTGAGCTCCCAGCACGTAGCCCAGGGAGGGAGAACCCAAACCCAGCCCGTCGTCCCCTGGCCCTTCAGGCAGGGCAGCTGTGATGTCCCACCTTGCTTGTCTTCACATTTTCATAGTGCAAAATGGCCCCCCAAGGACAAGCCCACCTCCCCTTCTCCCTAAGAGGAGTGGCAAACCTCTGCTCCTTGCCAGCACCGACATAATCAATAGGTTCTTCATTAATAAGCCAGCACGCCAAAGGGCCGGGACCCACCGTGCCAGCATTGGCCGAATGAGCTTTCAATCCAGCCCTTTCTCCCTGAGTCCAGATGGTGTCGTGGAGTCATCAGAGAGCCCTTCACTGCTTTCCCGTCTCCTGCTGTGAATTCTTTCTTCAAACTGGTTTCAAAGATCCAGCAGACCCAGACGCTGGGACTTCTCTCCTCCAGGCACGACCTCCTCGTTCTGCTCCCCGTCGAGGTGGCCTGCCCCCCACTTTTACACCTGCAGTAATTGATGGTGGGGCCTCAACAGCCACCACTCTCCCGGTTCAACTGGGACACGGGAGATGGAACAAAGTGGCCGCGTGACGTGTGGTGTCAGATAGAAAGACGCCAGGACGCACCTGCATTCTCTGCCCGAGGAGACCTGGGGACTGCATGGGCCACGCCCTCAGCACTGTCCTCTCTGAGGGACACTTTGCCAGTCCCCTCGTCCACAGCAGGAGGAGGCGTGGCCAGCCAGCAAATGGACCAGAGGCAATGGCTCTGCCAGCTTGGCCGACACACACTGGCTCCGCTCCATCTGCTGCCCCCGACCCTTGCCTACCCGCCACTCTCCGAGCCCTGGGACCAGCCGGTAACGCCTTCCCCTTTCCTTGTCTCTAGTTCTGAGCATCGGCGAAGGGGGCTTCTGGGAAGGCAGTGCCCGTGGCCACATCGGATGGTTCCCGGCCGAGTGCGTGGAAGAAGTCCAGTGCAAGCCCAAGGACATCCAGGCAGGTAAGGCGGGCGCCATCCGGGAGCCTCGGGTCGGCTTCCCGGCTTGTCTCAGCCGGAGGTCCGTGTTGCCAGTTCTGTGGAGCATGCGAGGAACCGGCGGGTGTGCTGTTACAGAGAAAGCCTGTGTCTCAAGACGAGGCCTTGGCTGGTGCGTCGAGGCGGGCTGGTTCAGTCCCACTGGGCTTTGCCCAGACCAGAAATCCCTTACGAGACAGCGTGGAAGCTGTGAGTTAGAAGGCAGCTCAATGCACATTCCAGAAAGCTTGGATCTTCCATTCTAGCTGTGAGAAAAAGCCTTTTGGGGCTTGACTAAGTGCTCGAAGCCTCTTTATCAATCTCTTATACCGATATCATAAACAGGCAGCTTCACATTCACCAGGAGGCCCTGCCCAGGCCCTCCCTGAGAACTACGCAGTTTGATGGCTCGATGAAAACTGCTCAAAAGAGGTCGGTGTTTGCAAAGGAAAAACATTCCAGCAGCTCTCAGACCTCCCAGATAGAGCCCTTGCCGAAGGCCGTTTCAAACTAATCGCCGAAAGGTGGAATTGGTTAAAATGTTAAGAGGAGACCACGTATATAAAACAGTATTGAGAGAATAGTATGGGAGCTGGGAAAAGCAAAGCCCCAGGGTCCCCATGTGTGCCTTCTGGCTTTTGCTGGACTCCCAGCCTCTGCGTGCATGTGCCAGAAGCCACCACGTTCGCTTGGCGGCCAGTGGCTTGGGTGCATCTCCCTCTGCAGCCAGGTGGCCCCTGAGCTCTGCTCAGACGAGCCTCTGTCCCGTGGGGGTCCCAGCCCCGATGCTCGCCAGGGAGCCCCCTGCCCCGTGGCAGGTCTGCCTGGGCTCGCGCAGCCGGAAGATGAGGTGTTCCGAGGACGCGTGCTCTGGACAGCACGATGGTGTCTCCCGGCCTGCTGGGTCCCCCTGACCTGGCGGGCTGTGCAGAGTCTTTACCAGGGACGCTCAGCTGGTCCCCTTTCCGAGAACCGGACTTCAGGGCACTGCCAGTTTGTACTAAGCTTCCCCCGTCCGGTCTCTGCTCAAGTTCACACACCAAGGGGAATGGTAATGTCTGCCGTCTTGTGGGGACGTCGAGGTGAGAAGTGTCCCAAACTTAAGCTTGAAAGGGAAGGCTGGCAGGTGCTCCGTGGCCGGGTGGGTCAGTGGTCAGCAGGTGGATGGGAGCATGTTTAACTGGGTGTGATGATGGGTATACTGAGCCCCTGGTACAGGCCGGCCCTCCAGGCCCCCCCAGTGCCCACGGACCACTGGCCCACACTCATCGTCTCCTGCAGGTAGCCTGGCCAGCCTCTCTGGTCTGTGAAGGGCAAGGCCATGGCCTGTGAGCTTGACCCGCCCTCCCTCTCCTCCTTCCCTCTCTCAGTACGTAGATTGAGCATCCCCGCTCCTGGTCCCCCCTCCTCCACTCTTCCGTTGCAGAGACTCAGGCATATGGGTGCCCGGCACTGCTGATGATGCCACGCCTGGATGCGGCAGCCCAGGATGACCACATGTGAGGGTCCTTTGGGCCTCCCTGCTCCCTGCGTCCTCCGCAAATATTGGCTTCCAGGAGACAGGGAGGAAAAGGCAGGGGCAGCTCTAAGCCCCCTGCCCCTCCCCTGCTGTGGGCTTTCTTTGCCCACCTGCCAACATTGCCCACTTCCCCCAGATAAGAGTGTGTGGCTTCCCCACCCACCGACAGCGTACCCGCAGGGGCGAGTGGACACGGTGCAGCTGGTCCAGGCTGATGTGTCCCCTCCAGAAGGGGCTTCCCAGGGGCGGTGGCTTGTTTGTGTTTATTGTGGGGAAGCTGGTTGGTGTGATGGACGTTCCTTGAAGGGCGTTCTGGCTCCTGCACACACTCTGCAGGACCATATCCTTGATAAAGTGCGTTCTCTATGTGGGTGGATGCCCGGCATGGGGATCAACTCTCCTGGAGTTCCAGCCGGTTCTGGGGGCTCCCGTGTGTCCTGGGTGACCTGAGAGCCTGCAAGCAGGCCTCTGACTCCAAGCAGCTGTGCTGGGCCGTGGGACAGGGCGCCCCCGTGCATTCGTGCTGTGCCCTCCCTGAACACCTCTTGGCCCCGGGCGTCTCGTGGGAGCCTGAGCTGGAGACAGAGAGACCACTGGTCATGTGGTCCTTAAGGATCTTAGGAGCTGGAACAAATTGTGGCCGGAACAAATCGCCACAAGCAGGTGGCTTCAAACATTGCAAATTTATTATCTCCTGGTTCTAGAGGTCTGAAGTCTGGTGTGAGTCTCAGGGGGCTACAGTCACGGTGTCGGGGGCTGTGTTCCTTTCCGGAAGCTCTGGGGAGAACGCATTCCCTTGCCTTTTCCAGGTGCTGGAGGCTACGACATTCCTTCCTCCATCGTCAAGGTAGTTGTGGGCCAGGTCCTTCTCTGGTCGTGCCTTGGTCACCCTCTCTTCTGCCTCCTCTTCTCCCACTTTTTAGGGCCTGTGGTCAGGACACACTGACTCTCAGCCTTCATTCCCTTTTGCCATGTGAGCACATACTCACAGGTCCCGGGGACTGGGATGTGGACGTCTCTGGGGTACCATCCTCTGTCTATGAAGGATGATAAAACGTGGACCTGATAACTCTGCTATGATGTAGCTGTCCGTCAGAGGAGGAAGGCTTCCCCAGGACGTTGGGTGGAGCCGGCTGGAGCGGGAGAGCAGCACAAAGCAGGTGGAATCTGAGCTGGATTTTAGGATGGGGAACATTCCGGAATGGTTCCTCTTGGTTTCTGTTTGCCTTGGGCTTTCTAAGACCATGACTTAACACCGTCTTTTTTTATATTAATTTCTTGCGTAGAGGTATGATTTAGGTACAGTAAAATGCACAGATTATGAGTCATTCCATGCACTTTGATAAATGTATGCGCCTGTGTCTCCCACTGCAAATAAGATAGAAAACATTTTCATCACCCCGGAAAGGTCTCTCGGGCTGCTTCCCAGCCAGTCCCCCCTCGCAGCCAGAGGCAGCCACGGTTCCGATTTCCATCACGGTAGATCGTTCAGCCTGTTGTTGAATCTCATAGGGACGGAACCCACAGCACGCGCTCGAGCCTGGCTGCCTTCACGCAGCCGGACGCCGGTGCCCGTTCAGCCACGCCGTCGCAGTATCCGTGGTCTGTACATTCTTATCGCTGAGGAGTACTCCGTCAGATATTTATTGCACGGCATGTGCATTCATTCTCCTGGTGACAGACGTTTGGGTTGCTTCTCAATTTGGACTCACGTGATCAATGCTGCTGTGAATGTTTTCGTACGTCTTTTCTCCAGACGTGTGTTTTCATTTCTCTTGGGAAAATACCTAGATGTAGAATGGGTCACAAGACAGGAGTGTGTTTAATTTGATAAGAAACTGCTGTACCATTGGTGTTCCTCCCAGCCGTGGACGAGAGTTCCAGGGGCTCCACTTTCTCACCAGCTTTTGGTAACATCAGTGTCTAATTTCGGCCGTTCTAATGGGGGGGAGGTGGTGCCTTACTGCGGGTGTAATTTACATTTTTCTGATGACTGTTGTCATGAAACACCCTTTTGTATGCTTGCTTACCTACCCTATGCACAGCTTCTTTTGTGAAGTATCTGTCCAAGGCTTCTGCCCATTTTTAATCAGCCTGTTTATCTTATTATTAGTTTGTGGGAGTTTCTCATATATTCTGTTTATCAGTCCTTTGCCAGGTGTATGTTGCAAGTATTTTTTTCCCAGCCTGTGACTTGCCTTTTTGTTGTCTAACTGCGTCTCTTAACACGTAGGTTTTTTAATGAATTTTAAAGGAAGTCCAATTTATCTATTTTTTCCTTTCACAATTAGTACTTTATGTAGCGCCTCTTTTTTTTTTTTTATGTTGAAAATTAGCAGCCTGGAATATACATAGAATCCAGAAGAGGATACAAAATATTTTCTCAGTGTTTCCATCCAGCGAGCTGGCAGCCCGTCCGTCTGGTTCGAGCCCGCAGAGAAAGGCTTCCTCCTCTTCGGTGCAGCATCCCTTTTATGTGTTGTAAGGTGGAATGTGGGGCTCGTGGATCCCGTTCATGTGAATTGAATGAAACAGGTGAATGATATGAGGAATGAGCGACGCAATAAAGAAGGCTGCTCAGGACACTTGATGCCCGTGAGCAGGACCAAGGGATTTCCCTTCACCTAACAACCGACTCAGAGGCCGGGAGCGGCCAACAGCAGAGTGACACGGTGGCTGGGGTCATCGATGGTTTGTTGAGACCGGCGCGGCCCAGTTTCATGAGGCCTGGTCGTTACACCTGCAGCGTGGGGAGCCCCGCCCATCTTCATCTTGGTTCTGGTTTCTCAGGGCTGTGTGTGTTTGGGGTGCTTCGCGATCTCCAGCAGGCTTTCTTGTGTGGTTTCTCATCCGACCTGTGCAGTAAGCAGGGAGGAACCGTCCTCCCCGATTTACACACCGTCGCCCGGTCTCAGCACCCAGGAGCACACCAGGAGGCACCCGGTGGGGCCGTGACCCGTTCTTTGAAACTCCTGACACTCTCTGTTTTGGCCACTACCTCCCGGAGTGACTGGTATAGTGATCCTGGAGTTCGCCCACCCGTGAGTAATCCTCGTGCGTGCCAGCCCAGAGCGATGGGGAGGCCAAGGCAGGTCCAGGCTCCTTCTCAGCTCAGCTGCCTCCTGGCTGGCTTCCTGCAGACGGGTTATTTACCAGCTCCGAGGAGATTTCTTCGCGCGGGAATGACGTGGTGCAGTGTGAAGGCTCGAGATGGTGCATGTACAGGGGCAAGAGGAAGAATGTGATTGTGGTTTTATTTTCCGTGCACAAGAGACAGAGGTCTGCCCCCATTTACAAAAAAATGCATGCCTCATCCCAGAGAATTGACAGCAAGGTGCCATGTGTGACAATGGCGTTGTGTGCATGGAGGATGGCATTTTGGAAGGTGGCAATCTGGGAAATTGCCCATTAATTAATGTGCATGACCCTCCCCTCATTCTCCGAGCATCCAGACTTTTTGAGGACG